AACAGTCCGTGCTGGGGGTGGGTGGGGTCCTTGAGAATGGAGGCAGCTTTCCTACGCACCCTGCAGTGGTAAATGCTCTGCAGAGAGGGCAGTGGAGTCCTGGTGATCTTCTCCGCAGTCTTTACCACTCTCTGCAGGCGCTTGCGGTCCATAGCAGTAGTGCTGCCATACCAGACAGTGATGCAGCTGGTCAAGATGCTCTCAATGATGCAGCTGTAGAAGTTGCAAAGGGTCCGAGACATGCCAAACCTCCTCAGCCTCCTCAGGAAGTACAGCCGCCGTTGGGCCTTCTTGACCAGCTGTGTGGTGTTGTGTGTCCAAGTGAGGTCCACACTGATGTTGACGCCCAGGTATTTGCACTCTCCACTTTGAGCCCCCAGATGAACAGCGGTCGATGAGATCTCCTCTCCTCCCTCATGTCCATTATCATCTCCTTTGTCTTGTCCGTGTTGAGGCTGAGATTATTGTCCTTGCACCATGACACCAGACCAGCCACCTACCGGCCATCTGCTGTGATGTTTATTGTAACCTCTTCAACAATAGTTGTGGTTTTACTATACTTGTCTCCCTCTTCCTTTCCTAAGTTTTTATTATTTTTCACCCCTTTGACACCTGTTATCCCACATTCCTACAGTATATATCGCACATCAAAGGAAATTAATAAAATAAATAAATATCCATAGTGGATCTTGCCAGACATGGTAATTACTCATCTTCTGTTTTTTTTTTACCAGTTCTAAAGAAGAAGTTCTGAAGATCAGCTTTCCCAGTCACTTTCTTAGCCCCAAACATTCCTGTGGGTATGAGGAGACTGACCACAGATCAGTGTGAAAACACAGTGTACTACATTGTTTTCCTCGCACATAACAAACACGTGAGAAAGACAAAGGCAAATCTTTGGACTCATGTCTTTAGTTATTGCCGGCAATAGTTTTAGTTAGAGTGAATAAACTTGCACACAGGGGCACAAACAAGCAAACAGTCACTTCCTGGTCTGACTAGTCTCTGTGCATTTCATTGGTTTGCAACTCTCTGCTGCCCCCTGCTGGAGACATACATGGATGGATAGATGGGTAATTCTTTATTGTCATTCTAACATGTACAACAAATTTTTAGAGTGACCTCCAGTCGGTACAGCAATAAAAGAAAAACACAACATATGAAATAAGACCATATAAAAAATGTAACCACTAGAAAAACGAAATAAACAACAGATCTCTCACCCCCTCACACACAGGCATGTTATATTTTAGCAGCACTGAGTGTGGTAACTGCTGTTGGGTCAAAACTATTCTTGACTCTAGTGGTCTTTGATTTGATTGCTCTGCACTGTCTACCTGATGGCAGCAGTTCAAAGAGTGAATGTCCTGGGTGTGAAGTGTCCTTAATGATGTTCTGGGCTTTTTTGAGGCAGCGGGAATGGTGTAGTTCTTCCAGAGTGAGGAGAGGGCAGCCGACGATCTCCTGGGCCGTATTAATAGCCCTCTGGAGCGTTTTCCTCTGAGCATTGTGATTCTCCCCTCCTGTGTATGATCTCTAGCACTGTGATAGTTTCTTGTACAGGATACCTTTGAACCTTTTCTTATCATTTGTGTCTCTGCAGGATTTGGTGGACTGGAGGAAGCCCCTGGCGTGGCAAGTGGGCCACCTCAGAGAGAAATATGATGCATGGGTTCACCAGCCAGTTGACAGACCAATCAGACTCTTTGGAAACCCCTTCCTGGAGGCTGGCACCAAGACCTCCTGGTAAGATGGGAGGTTCTTTTTAGTGTTCTTCTTGTATGACAAAATTAAAAAAAATCTGACTGTTTAAAAGAAAAACTTAGAAAATAAATATCTATTGTACATATCTATCAGTAAATTAGCTCTGACTGTTCATACTGTAGATACTGTGCACTCTTCACTACTGTTATTGCACTTCTGGTTAGATGCTAAACTGCATTTCATTGCCTTGTACTTGTACATAGTTAATGACAATAAAGTTGAATCTAATTTAATCTAAATATGATTCTCATTTGCAAACTTGAATAGAAAAAAGGCATTTTTCAATTAAAACTGTGACAAGTTTTCAGATTTGAAGTACTTCTGTGTAATATTAAAGTTTTTGCCTCCTTACTGAGTTCTTATGTATGTTTGTCACACTGTAATGTTTCATCAAACAAATTTAAATATTAGTCAAAGATAACACAAGTAAACACATCATGCAGTTTTTAAATGAAGGTTTTTATTATTAAGGGAAAACAAAATCCAAAACTATATAGCCCTGTGTGAACAAGTGTTTGCCCCCCTGTCAAAACACTGGTTTATCGCACCTGAGTTCAATTTCTCTAGCCACACCCAGGCCTGATTACTGCCACACCTGTTCGCAATCAAGAAATCACTTAAATAGGACCTGCCTGACAAAGTGAAGTAGACCAAAAGATCCTCAAAAGCTAGACATCATGCCGAGATCCAAAGAAATTCAAAAACAAATGAGAAAGAGAATAATGGAGCTCTATCAGTCCGGAAAAGGTTATAAAGCCATTTCTAAAGCTTTGGGACTGCAGCGAACCACAGTGAGAGCCATTATCCACAAATGGCGAAAACATGGAACAGTGGAGAACCTTCCCAGGAGTGGCCGGCCGACCAAAATTACCCCAAGAGCGCAGCGACAACTCATCCAAGAGGTCACAAAAGACCCCACAACAACATCCAAAGAACTGCAGGCCTCACTTGCCTCAGTTAAGGTGAGTGTTCATGACTCCACCATAAGAAAGAGACTGGGCAAAAATGGTTTGCATGGCAGAGTTTCAAGACGAAAACCACTGCTGAGCCAAAAGAACATAAAGGCTCGTCTCAGTTTTGCCAGAAAACATCTTGATGATCCCCAAGACTTTTGGGATAATACTCTGTGGACCGACGAGACAAAAGTTGAACTTTTTGGAAGGTGTGTGTCCCATTATGTGTGGCGTAAAAGTAACACTGCATTTCAGAAAAAGAACATCATACCAACAGTAAAATATGGTGGTGGTAGTGTGATGGTCTGGGGCTGTTTTGCTGCTTCAGGCCCTGGAAGACATGCTGTGATAAGTGGAACCATGAATTCTGCTGTGTACCAAAATATCCTGAAGGAGAATGTCCGGCCATCCGTTTGTGACCTCAAGCTGAAGCGAACTTGGGTTCTGCAGCAGGACAATGATCCAAAGCACACCAGCAAGTCCACTTCTGAATGGCTGAAGAAAAACAACATGAAGACTTTGGAGTGGCCTAGTCAAAGTCCTGACCTGAATCCAATTGAGATGGTGTGGCATGACCTTAAAAAGGCAGTTCATGCCCGAAAACCTTCCAATGTGGCTGACTTACAACAATTTTTCAAAGATGAGTGGGCCAAAATTCCTCCACAGCGCTGTGGAAGACTCATGGCAAGTTATCGAAAACGCTTGATTGCAGTTGTTGCTGCTAAGGGTGGCCCAACCAGTTATTAGGTTTAGGGGGCAAACACTTGTTCACACAGGGCTATATAGTTTTGGATTTTGTTTTCCCTTAATAATAAAAACCTTCATTTAAAAACTGCATGATGTGTTTACTTGTGTTATCTTTGACTAATATTTAAATTTGTTTGATGATCTGAAACATTACAGTGTGACAAACATGCAAAAAGATAAGAAATCAGTAAGGGGGCAAACACTTTTTCACACCACTGTATATAAGTTCAAAAATATTGTTAAAAAGTTACCTGTGAGCTTTGTTGTAACCTAACAAGTTGTGACATTCAGCAGTACTCACTAAATGCAAGCATTGCAGCATGACACTTTGTGACTATGGTATTGTATCTGTTGATCAAATGAGGTGTAGTCAGTTGGCAAATCTTAAACCTGTGTTAATGCAGAAAACAGCTCTGACCTCCTTTCCACTTCCACCCTAGGTTAATGCACTGTACTTATTTGCACTGAGAGCAGTTCAGTGCTCCACTTCCACCCTAGGTTAATGCACTGAGAGCAGTTCAGTGGTCTGCAGCTGCTTCACAGAAGCTGAGAGAGTTGATAGTCATCCATTTTTCCTCCCATATTTTTGCAGTTGTAAGGGTTGGTCTGTTCTCTTGCTATAGGTACTGGGTACCAGTGGTGTGGCTTCCTCTTGTGTTTTATCTCACCTGGTATTGCTGCACCACCCTGGCAAAGGGCACCACCAAGCTAGTCCTCACTTCAGGTAACACCCACACACATACTGTACATGCCTGCCTACATCATGCACACGCAAGTACCAGACACCCTTGGACGCTTTTCCTTTTGGCATACACTACAGCATGTTTGTATTAGTTTTCACTATTTCATCTCCATTCACTGTGTTTGTGTGTTATCTGTGCATGTGTTCCCAGACATCTCCATCTCGATCCCTATTTACGTTTTCCCACCGCTATTTTTGATGGGCTGGTTCTTGTGGTCGTTCCTAGAGTACTGCATCCATCGCTTTGTCTTTCACATGAAACCACCAGCTCATAACTACTACCTAATCATGCTGCACTTCCTCCTGCATGGACAGCACCACAAGGTACTAACACACTGCCGCTGTGCAGTGCTGCATGTTTCAGGATCATGAAACTGGCTTAATCATAAATCTCATTTGTTTTATTATGGTCTGCTTTCATGGCACTAAACAGAGGTAATCATTAATGAAGAATGTTATACTGCAGTTAAAAACTCTCTTCCTATTCCACAGTTTCAACTAGATTCCACAGTTTCAACTAGATACAGTCTTGTTAACTTGTGTTAATGCATTGAGCTTTCTTTAAAAAATTTTTTTTTTTTTTTTTGCTTTCTACCTTTGGCTTCTAGAGTTTTAAGTCTCAGTGCGTGATACAAATGTCTTTCCTCCACAGTCTCCGTTTGATGGCTCTCGTCTGGTGTTTCCCCCGGGCGTGAGCTCCTTAGTGGTGGGAAGTTTGTATATCATCCTCCGCAACATACTCCCAGAAATTTTTGCGTTATCTTTGTTTGTTGGAGGACTGTGCGGCTATGTCGTGTACGATATGATACACTACTACCTTCACTATGGCTCGCCAAAGAGAGGCTCGTATATGTACACCCTGAAGGCCTACCATGTCAAACACCACTTCGAGCACCAGAAAGCAGGTGACCACTGGAAAACTGCATATTTGCTGGACATGTAGGGCTTAAGTTTTATTGTGATATATTTGATGTAATTTTTATTATTCTCTCCAGGTTTTGGCATCACCACAAAGTTCTGGGACCGCCCCTTCAACACACTTATCCCTGATGAGAAATTTTAACACAGAGAAGGCTCTCCTCTAGGGTCACAGGACTTATCATCCTCCCTCCTTAGCCGACCAGCCAACGTGATATAACCACCCTGACACCCTTAGTTCAGTTTCTGCAGCCATAGTTTCCAAAGCCCTGAAGGGAAAGTTCCTTCTGAGGGCTCCTCTATCCATACCTACTGTACAGTGCACTATAACACATCAACCTGCTTTTTGATCCCAGCATCCAGTCCACACTATTTCCTCACTGCAACTTGTTTTTTTCTTTTGTAGTCCTGCTGCATTCTCACTGCACTTAACTCACCATTCAAGTCATTGCCAAATCACCAGTCACAACATTATAATATTCACCTGCGTGGTAGGTCATGGAGTGAAAGTGAGGGACAGACACACAGAAGCATGACCACACACATAATGCAAACATGAACATAGTCTTTTAATTGTTGTGGTTTTGTTTCCTTTGAAGGATTAGCTGAAGAATACTGTAGATCTTGTGCAAAAGTAAAACTAAGAAGCAAATGAACAAACTAAATTTGCCACCATGATAGCAGACAGCATGGAAACGCACATAGGCATGCACTGCTCTGGCTTCCCTCACAGTGGGAGAGAGGGAAAAACAAGTGGCAGATGGTAGATGAATGTGGAAAACAGTGACAAAAGGGGATGAGAGAGTGACAGAAAATGTGACAGCTACTGTATGTAATGACTGTGAGTACCAAACTGTACCGCCTCACCAGGTGAACTAACTCAGGAAAAATATATCTCTAGCCCTCCTTTGCACTGTCAGCTGCTTGAATTGCACTGCAGGTTTGTAACATCTTACAGAAGTTCCCTCCACCATGTGTGGTCTCTGTCATTTTTTTTTAAGCAGCTGGGAACAGAAAACATTTGGTTTCAGGTATTTGAACATGCTGAGGTTAACTTTACACTTTAGATTGAACCTATTGGCGAGTTCTAAATGTTGGAAACTGTGGAGATATATTTTTGCAAATCTGTTGTAATATGTACACCATTTTCTTTTATCTTTGTCATTAATGATACAACAAAGATGTAGAAAGATATTTTGTCAGATGCTTTGTACAGAAGAGGAGATTCTCCAGTTGCACCAGCTTTGTTGATAGAGGGAGCAGATGTTTTAGATGTAGATGTTATGTGTGGACACATCAAAATGCGAGCACGGATGGATGGTCAAGTGTTGTGTTAACAGAGGGACAGAGCTGAAGGGATGAGGCCAGCCAATCAGACTTCCTGCTGTGGGGATTTTGGGGTCAAAGGTCACACGGTCAGCTACGTGACAAGAGCTCTGGCTTACAAATCTATCTTTCCACACAAGTCCCCAAACCATTTCAAGTGTTAGGACCCACTACTGGGTCTCACTCAATCCATTTGAAGTCACTGGCACATTTGACCCTGCAGATCCCCTCAGGATGACGATTGATGAACCATCTGACTGGACAGCAGGAGGTCTGGACGATGACTGGTGGATCCTTCAAACTTCTCCTCTAAACACCTAACAGGAACTAAAGCAGAACAAAGTTAATTTCTGTAAATAATAGAGAAAAGTGAATATCTTATATGCATAAAATCATTTTATATTGCTTTTCTAGTTTGGAAAAAGGCTCATTTATTCTTACACATGTAAAATTACATCTCTTTCAGACTATTTTAACCACTCCTGATGAAAGTTTTTGATAAAAAAAAAAAGAAAAATCAGTAATACAGTCAGGTGATTGATACAGTCAGGTCATGTCAATTAATCTTTCTAATATAATCAGGTCTCACAGGAGCCTGGCAGGGTTGAGCTGATAGTGATTTGACACCAAAATGTGTCATGTTTTCTAAAGCCTAGCTATCAGTTAAAGCGACACCATAGAGTTTATAGTGAATTAGCAGGACAGCATGAGAAAAAACTGACTTTGTGTACCATAAAGACATTTGGTAAAGATGTTTGCAAGAACCAAAAACTATATTTTTGATGTCAGCAATGATGGAAGCAATGGTGATGATAATGATGATGAGTTTAATAATACACAATAATTAGGACAGTTGCTTTGCCAGCTGGAAAATTCTACCTTTTAAAGCTAATTACATATATTTCTGTGAAAAAGATGCCAACAGCTTGCAAGCTTGACAAGTGAATTTTTCCTTGTTCAAAATGATGCTTCATAAAATACTATCTCCTACTGTGACTTTTGATTTTAGACTTTTAAATTTCTATGCAAATGCAAACATCTTCATAAATAAATGTCTCTATATATCTGATGCAGGTCTCTCCTGTGTTTTTATTAAATCACTATTTATTAGATCTTTGTATAATACAAATATTTTTCTTAATCTCCACCAATTCCACACCGATAATAGTGTAATGACAGTACTACTCAGTCAACTGGAAACTTCAGATCTTTGAACAGAAAGGCTGCTTTACAAACTGGCCATGGAGTTTGAAAAATGTGGCCAGGCAGGGGATGTGTAATGCGAGATGCTATCAAGTTGCATTGTGGGCAGAGTTGGACCAAGTACTTTTCGGACTTGACCAACATGGAAGTGCAAGTGGTCTGGACTGGTCCCTGTCACCTAACCCTGCAGGAAGTCTCATGAATAGTGATAGGTAGTTAGGAACAAAGGTCTGTACGTTTGTCTATCTAATGTAAATCAACACCTCCTGTGAACTAAATTAACATCCCAATCCCCTACAAATGTAGTATTTGTTGCTAAACTACAGAATTAAATTATATGTCTCATAAAATATTCTATTTCTACTTCCACTCCATTCTGAGGGTAAATCTATTACTTATGAGTATGACTTTACCTGCAGAGATGCAAGCTGTCAGGACTGAGCAAGTCATCAGCTTGTGACATGACAGCTATACTTTACATACCGCAGGAGGGTCAAACTCAAATACACGGTGGGCCAAAATTAAAAACTGGGACAAAGTTGCGGGCCAGACTGTATATTTATTGAAATATTGAATAAAATTGAGCATGTTTTCCCTTCTCTCCAGATATATAATGGAAACAAACAAGTTGCTTAAACATTGAATTTGGAACAAGCAAAGCTTAATCTTCTAAACACATGAGAAATCAAATGTCAAATAAAAAAAACATCAGTGGCATTCGTTTTTTATTGTTTTGTGAACATTTTCTGCTGTGAAACCAGACTTCTTTTCATCTCCTCTACCTTCTGGAGCTTCTACTTCATGTCCAGGTCCTTGTACTAGTCTTGGTGTTTCGTTTCATAGTGTCTTATGTTAAATTCTGTCATTACAGACATGGCTCCGCACACAAAACAAACAGGTCTGTCCTTTACATTAATGAACAGATAATCCTCCTCCCACCTTGAAAGCTCCTGTTTTCCATCTTTCGTTTGGTCATTATTTTGGGAGGGGTGGATTAAATTTGCCCGAGGTGACTGGTAGCATGAGGTTGCTAATGAATGTCAACAGAAGGTACTTGTGGGTTTTGATTTACGCACCAACGCACTAGCAAAGCATTCTGGGATTTGCAGTATTAGCGGTGCATGCGATATATACTGGCGGGCCAGCTCTAATAAACATTTGAAATTATCTCGCGGGCCAAATATACTTATACCGTGGGCCAGATTTGGCCCGTGGGCCTGAGTTTGACATATATGACATACAGTATATGTTTTTGTTTAATCTCAATTCAAACCTAACTAGAAGCATGCAGTATCTGTAGATGTTCCTTGGAGTTTTTCCTGAAGAAAGCATAGTGCTGAAGTCTTTCCAGTTCTTGTACCACACTAACTCTGAGAGACGAGGCAGTCCAAGTAACTTCAAAACAGTGCTGATTTATTCAATGAACACAGGTAAAAATTAACATTACACACTCAGGTATCTTGCACCCTCAACATGCACGTAGGCAACTGGAAGATGAAAGACCCCGAACCCACCAGGCCTATACATTATATCTGTTTTGGGCTAACCCCATACTACACAGGGACGTCAAACCGTGACGTCTCTGTTGCCAGGAAGATGAAAGCCCCCGAACCCACCAGGCCTATACATTATATCTGTTTTGGGCTACCCCCATACTACACAGGGACGTCAAACCGTGACGTCTCTGTTGCCAGCTTTGCAGCTGGCCATAGCAGTAGTCAAAACATGAAGTAAATCAATGTGTGTGTGTGTGTGTTGATTAAGTGGTGTGTAGCTAAAAACATTCTCACAGGACATTCAGTGACATGTCATGACATTAGGCATAAGAAGATATTATGATTATGATTAAACACGTCATGCGGTAGCCTACAGGGGTCATTGTGAGGTCAAGAAGTAAACTTCCCTCCTTTTAATCAAATAGTCAGCTATCTAATTTATACAGAGCAAACCTTTTTGATGAAGAAGATGGCGAAAAGAAAAAAGATTAGTACTGTACATTTCAGCACGAATGGACAGAGGAATTCGCCTTTGTGGAGAGGGCAGGTTCTGCGGTGTGTCTAATATGCAATGATAAAATTTCATCGATGAAACGGTCAAATATAAAGCGGCACTTCGACACACGCCATGCTACATTTGTATTGAAATATCCAGCAGGGGACAGCAGGAAGAAGGCATGTTACTGTGCAGAGTGCAAGATAGTCAGCAGTAACTCCGTGTATGGACCTGACAAGGTGACTGGAATTCGGCTAGCTTTGCTGGTTCTTTAGCAATAGTGAGGAATGGAAAGCCATTCACAGATGGCTTTCGAATCGAAACGAATAAAAGATACGCCTCTGTCAGCAAGTACTGTTCACAATCGTACCATCATGATGGCAAATCAAGTGGAGGAAACACAAGTGAAGGACATAAATGCAGCGCCATACTTTTCCCTCGCTTTGGATGAATCAACAGACATAAGCCATTTATCCCAGTTCAGTGTGATTGCAAAGTATGCTGCCGGTGACACACTGCGTGAGGAAAGTCTTGCTGTTTTGCCAATAAAAGGTCAACAAGAGGGGAGGATTTATTCAAGGCCTTCATTGAGTTCACTAAAGAAAAACATCTACCGATGGATAAACTAATTTCGGTGTGTACTGATGGTGCTCCGTGTATGGTGGGGAAAAACAGAGGATTTGTAGGGCTTCTTCATGAACATGAAAATAGACCCATCCTAAGTTTTCATTGCATTCTACATCAGGAGGCACTTTGTGCTCAAATGTGTGGCGAGCAGCTTGGTGAGGTGATGT